ATATATATATATCTATAGATATGATATATATATATATATATATATATATATATATATATATATATATATATATATATATATATATATATATATATATATATATATATATATATATATATATATATATATATATATATATATATATATATATATATATACCTGGCTGTAATTGGATCGTATTGGCTCGAGTTCAGCTGTGGGTGGAGCAGCTTCAACCTCTGCCAAGGATGAGTAACCTAAGTGTACAGCTGCCCATTTCAAAAAGCTGCGTAAATCCTGTTTGCTGATACTTCCAATCGGATTTATATCAGCGGAACTGCAATCATACTGCACAATAGTAGAATGGTTAATGAGCGGGATGTTATAAACGTCGTTTCAGTTTTAAGAATACCGTTACGACTTCAAATGTGATTTTGACCATTTTCGAGTCTGAATTTGGCAATAACTCAAAATCACGGAATTTGTAGTTCAGATTGGATGTCGGGTGAGAAAGATATGCATGAATGAACGAACACTGCCCACAACCACAACTTTGATGTTTTGAGTTATCTAAAATTCAAAATGTAACTCATTCATGCATAACTTTGTCACCCGACGACATCCAATCTTGCTGATTCATGTTGGATTAGAATGCTAACTCAAAAGGACTACAATTTTCGTGCTTTTAATTTTGCCAAAATCAGACTAGAAAAGGGTCAAAATCACGTTCGAAATCATAATGGTATTAGTAAAATTGAAAAGCCACTTAATCGTAGCATTATAATAACACTCAACAAAGTTTGAAATAACAAAGTACATTTGATTACCACACCATAGTTGAATTGAATTATAAGTAATGATCTTGTTGGAAACATTCGTCCGATTTGCTTTTATAAATAAATAAATGATAAATAATAAAATAAAAAAAATAAAAAATAAAAAACAGTAACATAGGTTTCGGGTGGTACCTTAGTTAAGTAACCACGCAATCCCTCGTCAACATTTGAGCTTCCTAATACCAAATAAAAGCCAGGTTTGCTGTGAACCCATGGCAAGAGTGATGCTAGCATAAACGCTAACACCATTCTGATTCGAGCCTGAATATTTTGCAACCCTAAATTTTCGATGTTTGACCCTCCGTCTACCTGAGACAAAAGATAAATAATAATCAATATTCTCACATACAACAGCACAACTGATACAGACAAATGTTAAATTCCTTTTTTAACCTTGTAGCGAGGTCGTTTTCCTGTAAGTGTTTGAAATAAAGAGAGCAAGGCAGAAATCACTCCATCTATTGACACATCGAGATGCCACGACCCGACTTCTTCGGCAAGAATTTTTGCCCTATTTCTTGTTGCATCGGAACTATAAGATAGAATAACTGTCACAATTTCGCGATGAAAGAATAATATTTTTCATTAACGATAAGGTAACAATATGTGAGACTCGCTTGGCGAATAAAAACATTTTTTGTATAAGAAATATTTCATAATAATAGTTCAAAAATATATTCTGACCTATTTTCGGTGCCCATGTAAACTGTGTAGAATATGCGTTTGGCGAATTCTTTACTGTCTGTTGGAAATTGTCCATCCGCATAGTGGCCGATTCTTATCGCATCAGCTTTGACTTGTTCATCCCCATTTGCTACTTCTATAGTAGTAGTAGTAGTAGTTGCATCAAAAATCACAATGTTACTGTGAACAATGTGAATGTAACAAAATTTTGTCGCTATAGATACCCAAATCGGAATCGATAAAAACTAGAGCCATCGTGTGAAAGGATTATTCAAGTGAGATCCATTTGTTTACGTATAATGCGAAATCATAATAATCCTTTTCATCAGATGAGCAGTGATTTTCAGAGAATTAATTATGAGTACTAGAACTGTATTAAGGGGTGATAATCGGACGGACCTGATCGGAATTAGTACTTTCGGAAAAATTCCGATTTTTTTTCCGGATTGGAATGAAAGAAATCGTTCCAAAATCAGAAATTTTCGGATCAGAATCGACGGAGTTTGGAAAATTCCGTTCTTTTTATTAACCTAAAACATAAAATGCATACTAATATTTATATTATAAGTGTAATTCCCGAAAAATTCGGAATTATTTTTTGAAATTAAAATTGGATCGGAAATTGGAATCTCATATATATTCCAATTCCAATCCAAACAATTTCAGAAAAAAAAAAAGTCGGAATTGGAATATTTGTAATTCGGAATGAGAAATATTGTTCCGAAATTGGATTCGACCCCTAAAGGCTGTACGAATCAATTTAAAATTTTCATTGAGCACTACACAAAAGATTAAAATAATAATAAACAGAAACGGACCTTTTACTACTAGCTGGCACATGCAACCAACTATGGCAGCGACAGATGAGCTATCTGCTCCACCTGAGAGCGGAAGTAAAAAACCAGATGCACCACTTCTTCTTAAATAATCCCACAACCAGCAGCCCGGCCCGAACGCTATTTCCTCTTCAGGAGAATGATATTGAATCTGAGAGGAAACCAAAAAACAAATTTAATTCTGTTATATATGAAGCTAAAATTAGGAGTAGGGTGAAAATTGGAACGTAATACGATTTTCGCCGATTTCTATCGGACGTTTTCCTATTTTGGAACAATATGTTTCATTCCGAATTTCAAAATTCCTATTTCCGAGTTTTTCGAAATTATTTGGATCGGAATTGGAATATATATGAGATTCCGATTTCCGATCCGATTTTAAGTTCCGAAAATGATTCCGAAATTTCCGATTTTTTTTCGAATATTACACTTAAAATGTCAATATTATTGGGTATTTTATATTTTATGTGACAAAAATTTGGAAATTTCCGAATTCCGAAATTTTCCGATGTTTTTTTGAACGAAATTAGAATTAGTTTTTCACTTGCGAAAAAAATCGGATTTTTTTTCCGGAAGGGCTAAAATCCCAATCCCATCCGTCCAATTTACACCCCTAATTAGGAGGTTCAATTTGAACAATTCAAAAGAAAAAAAAGTCTTAATAAGGAATAAGAGGACTGATTATTTCAATACATGCATCGGCGTTTTCTTTTTATGAAATTCTTTTCGGATACCAAACATTACTCGTCTCACCTTAAGTGGACTCGATAGCAACATTTGGAGCTTAAAAGACTCGCAAAGCTTGTAAGGTACTGAAACTGCGGGAACTTTTGGTTTGCAACTGGCTTGTTCTTGAAAGCTACTAATAGATCCTCTAAGACTAGCGACCTGCAATTCGATAAGTCGTAAAAACCAAAATGCAACCTATGAAACGTTTATGATTTAAAATTTATTATTAAAAAAAAAAAAAACGTACCGCATCTAGGTCTACTTGAGCAACCACCATTTCGACATCCTTTAACGAGAACTGTGACCCTTGGGCAACCACATCTCCATTGACAACAACACAAGAGCATCCATCTGCGTATAGAAAAATTATCAAAAAAGACATCCTCAAAATCTTATATATTATTAGCGTTACAAGTAACGGAAAAAAAAAAACTAATAAAAAATAAATAAATCGGATATTATTCTACGCACCATAATAAAGGCGTCCACCGTCACATCCTTGGTGATTACTGTACATGTAAACTCCTCCACGGGTATGTGTAGCGCCTATAAAAGCACGGAGGCGAATATCGAGTTTTCTTAATTGATGGTGACTTCCACTAGCATTCATAAAAACTTCGACGCCGTTCAATGCCAGCTCAGCATGAGGTGGCATAGGACTAAAGAGCTCCTCACATACTTCAGCTGCAACAGCTCTAATCAAAACACAAAATTTTGAAGTATTAGAAGTCACGAACAGTTGGCCAAAAGTTAGAAGCTCAAACAAAGCTATTCGTTGACTAATGTCATGAACTCGTGATGCAAGTTCCAAAGCTAAGAGGGTACTTGGCTAAGCTTATAAGCTATTAAAAGCATCTTTTGAGATGTTTAAGAACTTATAAGCTCTTCCAAAGTATTTGGCAAATTTCTTTCCGAAAGAGCCTAAATATTCAAAAAGTAAGCTGTTGGAGAGCTTATAAAAAGCTTATAAGATATTTTTTTAAAGTACCTATACTCCACTTTTTGTTTAAGATCTTAAAAACAGTAAAAACAACTTATAAGCTTATTATCCAAAGACTTCACAAATTAATTTTAAAAATAAGACGTAACAGCTTATCAACTCTTAAAACAACTTATCAGATGCAAGAGCTTGTCGGTTATTTAAAATAAGCTTAGCCAAACGGGCTCTAAAATCATGAATTAGAACAAGAACATTAAAGAGAAACCAAATATCAAAAGTTGTAAGATACGTCTAGCAAGCCAATGCAATAGCATATTATTCCTTTTTTCACTTTTCACTAATAAATTCATGTAAGATTAAACATATTTACATTTTGCACCTTCAGAAAGTCCACATTCAGCTAAAGAAAAAACTCAACGGGCGTAAGAACTACAAGATAAAAATAGATAAACTATGAGAGATGAAAAAAGCTAAGTTTGCAGGACAAGATCGCTTACGTGTCAAGAAACTGGATATACCCGTAGCCAAACGGTACAGTTGTTTGCGACAGAGACTCGGATATATCACTTGGAAGAAGAAAGTCGTCAAGAAAGTCTTTTTGCTTCCATGCCGTAAACCATCTGAGTTCTCTATAGTTTCCGTCATTTGCTAGCCACATCTTTGGGCGTATCATAACTATTTTTCGATTCAAGCAAAGGACTTGACAATTGTACCGCTCTGACCCCTTGATAATAGGCATTCCGAAACTACACAATATGCCGTCCGTCCAATCGCCGAGCAATAACTCTTTCAAGCAGTCCCACCTGTAAATTGATTGATAAAGAAGTGTCTAAATGAAAATCGTGCAAACGGAAAGATTTATGCGTCCCAAAAAACAAAAAAACAAAAATTAACAGTAATAATAATCACTTAACAAAGAATGCATTATGGTGGTGTTTGTAAAAGCTTATTTAAAAGCAGACGTTGGTGATTGTGAGTTAAGTTGAAATTAAGTGTTTATTTCTAAATGTTGGGGGTGTTTGCAAATTAGCTAGAAAATCAACTAAAATAGAAATGGCATGTATATGGGTGCTTTTAAAATTATAGCTTCACGCAGCTTATTTTAAGAGAAGCAAACACTTAAAAAACAGATTATGTGCAGAAAAAAGCTCATAATCTATTTGTAAAAGCTTTTGCAAACACCACCATAGACATAGAATTGTAGTCTTACGCGTGATTGACAGTGTCGAGTTCCAAGAAATGGTCTTCACAGCCATAGCCAGTGATTTCAAGCTCGGGGCCCAACCGAATAACGGCGCCGGATTCTTTAGCCCTTGAAATGGACTCCTTAATATTCTTCATATTGCAATCAAAATCCATTGCCCATTGATTCAAGTTGCAAGTTGCCACCTTCAGAAGCCTCATATTCTCAATTTGTTCTGCAATTTACTTCACAAGAAGAAAAGGAAAATTTAGCTTTGAAATTCTAAAATTGAAATGGCAAAAAACAATTGCCTAATCAATTTCTCCAATTAGGTTTAACATCAAATCAATAGACTGAACCAACTCGTAAGTTTAATTGGAAAGGGAAGATCTTGGTAGACCAGAAATTAATCAGCTTTTTTTTTTGGCAGTTGCACAAGCAATTCGTTTACAGTACCATCTGAATTCTGAAGAAACATACTACTAGTGAATATATAATTTCGAGAGAGAGAGAGAGAGAGAGGCAAACCTGTTTTTGAGTGGGATTTGAAGGGCAATGAAACTTCGGAGGAAGCTTTTGGATTTACCGGCGGCGTTGATGGAAGATGAGGATTGGCGACGGCGCAGGTGAATACGGTTGCGGCGGTGAACACGGCGGCGAAATGGCGGCGGAAATTAGAATTTTTTTAATTGTAATCAAATCAGAAGAATTTCACCGATTCATTGCCACCTCTTCTTCTCCGGGTTTGTTGTCTATCACTATTCACTACCAGTGGAGTTCTCTATGTTAAATCCGACAAAACCATGCAAAAGACAAAAATACCCTTAATAAAAACATTGAAAAACCACATGTGAAAGGGCAACTTTACCCTCCAAGTCGGAACGGAATATCCCGAATTCCGCCGATTCCGATCCTTTATTTTTTGACTAGATGATGATATCTAGCACTCCGATTTTCAATTTTCTTGGATTGGAATTGGAAATAAATAAATAAATATATTTATTTATTTTATTATTATTTTTTTGTTTTGGAAATTCCGATTTTTTTATGCATTTTTGTTATTCGAAAATAATTCCGGTAATTCTATTGTTTTCACACCCAAACTAAGCATGGATACGATTCTTGACCCCGTTTGAGCATGATGACACAACTGCACATTCAAGTGATTTAAAAGGGGAGTAAAGGTGAAGGGGACGCAAACCCTAGTTCGAAGTAGAAATCACCTTCAAATCTTTAATGATTTTCGAATCTTGAAGGATTATGATAGAATTTGTGAGTTTAGGGTTGGGTTTTTGGTGTTTTGTAGAAACTATTAGGGTGCATTTGGATGGAGGGATTTGGAGATGAATTTCAAATCCCCACCCCTCCTTTTTAGTTAATTTTGGAGCAATAGTGATGGATTTCAAATGACTCCAAAATTGGAGTCATTTCAAATCCATTCCCCAAATCAAATCCCTCCCCAAATCCCACCATCCAAATGGACCCTTAGATCCAGTCCATTTTGAATCAAGAACAAACTTTATCTACTTCGATATTTGAATTTAATTAGATAAAGAATTTTAAATAATTTGAAATCCACCAAAATTACTCAAAAGAAGGTTGCAAGTTTTTAAATTTATTGCAAAATGAATAATTCAAAAGGTTAAATAAATTTGTAATTAAGTCCTAATGAAGTGTTAATTTAGTCACCTAATCTTCAATTCTTTTGGTAAGATTGACATACTCATAATTGTGATCGACTTTCACAACACAGAAAGATGAAAACCGGAAATACAATTTATTAGACATACCAATACAAATGGAGGGGGGATGTGATAAAATCCACGCCGCCGCATCCTCACCATAATTAATCGATAATATGCAGTACCATCCAAAAATACAAATTATAATAATTCTCTTTCAACGTGGTCGGTAAAAAAATTCGGTATTTTTCTAAACTACAGTACACAGACAGGTAAATCTCATCAGTTTATGTCGCAATTTCATCAACCTCCGAGTTGAAAACGAAGCTTGGAAATGTCGTTGTTATATCCCTGCATTCACCACAAGAATCACATCATATATCATATATATAAATATACACATATGTATATATATTGTGACACGAAAATACCTCAAATATGGAAGTGTCATTATCTTCAACAACGAAGGATTTCGGGCAACAAAATTGTGCCATTCAGACTTGTCAATTTTTCCATCCTGGTCAACGTCGGCTTCCATAAATGTCTGTTATTTTACCATTCAGTGAAAAGTTCAACGAGTCAGAAAAATATATATGTATATATTACAAAACGAGATATACTTAATTGTATATTTACCTTATCCAGAATCATCTCGATCGTCTCATTAGCCAGCTTCATCTCAGATTCACACAGAAGTGCAATCAACATTTGCTTCACCTGCGAAAATCAATTATGAATGAAGACCCTGCAAATTGATTTAAATGGAAAATAAAATGACACGATTAATACCCTTTTTTCTTCGGCACATACTCATTAATAATTGAATTAAATGAATAACGAGCGTACATTACTCGTGTTTTATGAGTAAACCAATATCGTGAGGAATATTCATGAAGTTGTTTCAAATGGCAAGTATGAAAACCTAGACAAATTACGAGTGAATTACCTCTAGACGCTCGATATATCCAGTTCCGTCCATATCATATAGCTTGAACGAAACTTGAAGGGTATAAAAACAACAAGTTAGGATTAATTTTGTTGACTGTAGGTTTCTGAGGTATAAAGGAATAGAGATAATATCTAATCAGCTTACAGTTAATTTTATCTTCTTGTGGTGCATTTGGATGGAAAACGTTGAGTGATCTAACGAAATCACCAAAATCAATCACTCCTTTTTGTTTCACATCAAAGAGATCAAAGATCTGCACATGGAATAAAGTTAGCGATAATAGATTGAAATGCATGCATGACATAAGAGAAGACAACAAAAGAAGGCAATCAGATTATACTCAAAATAGCACGGAAATGCCCGATGTCAAGATTACTTACTCGGTTTGCAAAAAGATTCTCTTTTTTCCTGTTCTTAAATAGAGCCAATTGAAGTTCTTCCTGCACATGAAATACAGTTCAAATTTTAAAAAAAAAAAAAAAAAAGAAAAAAGAAAAAAAAAATATAGTGTATATATGTATATGTCGTCGTCGATGGAAAAATCCCAATAGGCAGAATATAATGCAACAACTACACGCTACACCTCTGCAAATTAAAGATTCAAATTAAAGCAAACAGATTTGGACTGGTGGACTAACACCTTTTCAGCAAGAAACCCCATTAGAGCTGTGTGAAAATCGAAACGCACTTCAATTCGTAAGGAGAATGAGAGGGGTTGTTTGGTCAATAATATTACGGTGGAAAAATACCTTATTGATTAGCCCATCATCAATGACAGAACTGCTGATGCTCTTGAACAGTTCAAATAATGCTTCAACCTCACTTACACTGACTGCAAAAGCAAACCGAGACAGGGATTTCAAATGTAACAAACGAAATAGACAATGAACCAAATAACTTAAAGATTGATAATGACGAAGTGTTGTAAATTTAGAAATGAAAAGAAATCAATCTGTTTTCTTACAAGCTGTTTGAGATGAAAGTTGAACGGGATCTTCATAACCAGGAAATTGTTTTCTTGAAGTAGACTGAAAACAGCCCATTTAGGGGAAGAAACTTCCCGCTACGCTCGTCTCTAAATGCCTTTAGCTGCACTACAACACATCATCAAAACCAATCTTAACCTCGCAAATTACACAGACAATTTTAAGAAAAGCAGATTTTCCAAACCAATTAGTAACAAAAGGTCATATAAGAAGAACATAGAAGACAGCTCTTGATTTCCAAATCCAACAATTAAAGAAAGAAAAACGAAATAAAAGTGAGTCGTTAATTAACGGACGATCCAGTCATGCAAGCAACGAATCAACGTGTTTTAAAAAGTAACATATTTCCCCCTTTGAGTAACAAATAACAGCAGATTTTTTTTTTGTTCTTCTAGAATCAAACACTTGTCCAATTAATTTCTCTACATTAACCCCGTGAAATAACTCAATCAGGTTCAGTCAACATCAATCAACTAGACTGAACCAACTCTAATCATATTTGAACAAGGAGAAAACCCTAATTTAATTGAAAAGGGAAAAGCTGGCAAAACCCGAAATTAAGATGCAAATTAATCAAAAAAAAATTTGTTTGCAGCTGTACAATTAATTATTTTACAGTACCATCTGAATTCTGAAGAAACATACTACAACAAAAAGCAAGATCAAACTCCCAATTGCTACATGTTGGGATAATTTTAAGGCCAAAATTCTTCTATTTAAAATAATGTTCAGAAAAAAAAGCCATCAAGCTTCAACTGATATTGTTATCAGAAAAACGTAGCCGGCGCACACAAAAAGGAAATGAAGAATTTCGTGACAGAGAGCAAACCAAAACAATATACATTAACTCTCGAAAATCAGTAAATAATTTCGTGAGAAAAAGAGAGGGAGACCTGTTTTGAGTGGGAATTGAAGGGATTGATGAGATTACGGAGGAAGCTTTTGGATTTACGGTGTTGGCGCCGGCGGAGACAGCGACGGAGGCGACGGCGGCGTTGATGGAAGACGAGGATTTGCGACGGGGTTTGGGTGGTGGATAAGGGGGACGGACGGCGGTGGAAACGTATCGGGTAATCGCGGGCTGCGCAGGTGAGAATACGGCTGCGGCGGTGAATCCGGCGGCGAGATTGCGGAGGAATAGAAGAAAGAGATTTGGGGGTGGTTGCGAAATTAAAGCATACGTAAATTAGAATTTTCAATTTTGTGATTAATGTTTTAAGGGTAAATTACAACCAACCCCCTAAGGTATGGTCAAATTACGAAAACCCCCTATTATTTGGATAATTACAACCACCCCTCAACTCCTCAAATTTAGTGGAATCTTCGAGATTATATGGTACTTTTGTACTCGTTTTATCCAATTCGAACTCTACATTTTGAAGCAAGATGATCATAATATGTGTTTTTACTTGTATATATCAGATTGTGGTGCATCAGAAACTGTATTTTCACACAAAATGAATACAAACTAGAGCACATTCCACGAAATCTAGATGATTATGTTGAATTTGACACCATAAGGGTGGATATGTAACAAAAAATCATAGTTGAGAGGTAGATGTAATTATTCAAACAAAAGGGATTTTTTGTAAATTGACCATATGTCAGGAGGTGTTTGTTATTTACCCATGTTTTTATTCTGCCCTTTCCTTTTGTGCTTTTTATAGTCCGGTTTTTACTGCTTCGCGGTTTCTTTTTTTTACTTTTTCTTTTTCTTTTTCTTTTTCTTTTTTTTTCAACTTTGAAAGAAAAAACTTACAATTCTTTTTTTTTTTTTTAATTAAAAAAAAAAAGAATTGTGAGTTTTTCTTTCAAAGTTGAAAAAAAAAAGAAAAAGAAAAAGTAAATAAGTATTTTCGTGGAAAGAAGCATGACATAATATTGTTTTACATTTTAGGCTACGAAGCACGAAACAATGCATTTTATGTTTTTATTGTACTTTGTGTTTCGTAATGAAATGTACGAATTCATAGAATTTGCTTTAAATTTACTTCATTTTTAACACTCAAATAAATACAAGGATAACAAATTTAAACCGAAATTCAAATACAATTACAAATTACAAAAACAATATTTGGTAAACTATGGAGTACCAACGTCAATAGACTTTAAAATATTAACGATATACGCATGTTTATGAGACATTGGATAGTATTCATAACAAAAATATATATTACATAGAAAAATCTACAGTCAAATTACAAAAGTTATATGGTTAACATGCTAAAATAAAATTTTAATAGTAAATGGATCAAAATTTTAACACAATTCTAGTAAAAAGTTCAGTATTAAAAAGAGTAATTTATCATGATTTATTTTGTAATATTCATCAATGTACATATTATTATAATTAGATATAGTGATTATGAAAATAAAAATTTGAAATCTAATAATAACTCATGTGGAAGAATCAACTGATGACAATTGACATATATATATGGGATTATTTACCAAAACTCCCTAGTTACACATGTGTAGATACAATGAGTCCAAAAATATTTTATTATTTTAAGATAAATCCAAAATATTTTTAACTAATAAAAAATAATTAAGTCTCACTATTATACCATTATGTTTAACCCTAAACTTTTACAAACTTCTAATAATTATTTATCATGTGATGTCTCTTCAACACCCCACTCTCCCTCTCCCACCCAATCCAACAACTACCACCATTACGCCAATTTATTTTACCACCATCTCTCTAGCAAATCCCCCTGCCTCCACCCCGTACCCCCACCCCCAACAACAATCACCGTCCGCAAACTATACCACAGACCAATTGTTTCGCCTCCACCATCATAACCCAATCTCGGTGAATTTCAAGATTTATTACATTAAGAAGAATTGAACCATATGGGAAAGAAACAAAACCTAAAAAAAATGAAACCACCACCAAACTTAAATTGTTTGAAACCCAACCACCACCATGAATAATATTCTGGTTTCTATGGGGAGATCAGTTCCAGTTTTTTTTATTTTTTCTTTTTTCTTTTTTTTCTTTTTTTGTAGGTTTGTTTGCAGATAAGTTTAAATCGTATTTCTACTGCGGTAGTGGTTTCAATATTTATATAGTTGTGTATACAGAGTGGTTTTCATGTTTATATAGTTTGTACAGAGTGGTTTTCTAGTTGTGTATACATAGTGGTTTTCATGTTTATATAGCTGTTTTTATACAGAGTGATTTTCATGTTTATATAGTTGTTTATACAGAGTGATTTTATATTTATATAGTTGTGTATACATAGTGATTTTCATGTTTATATAGCTATTTTTATACAGAGTGGTTTTCATGTTTATATAGTTGTTTATACACTGTGGTTTTCATTTTTATATAGAGTGATTTTTATTTAAATAAACTGGAAAGAAATGAAAAAAAAACCATTTTTAAAAAAAATTCAAAATTAAGAAAAAAGAAAAATAATGAAAAAAACGAAAATAAAAATAAAATCATTTTTTAAAATTAAAATAAAAAACATGAAAAACATAAATAAGAAAAAAATAATTTAAAATAAAAAAAACCGAAAAAAAAAGTTAATTACAATTTTTTTTTAAATAGAAATAAAGAAAATCATTAAACAAAATAAAAAAGAAAAGGAAAAAAAAAAAGTAAATTGGCATAATTAGGGGAATAATTTTTGGAGAAGATTTGGGTGTAGATTATGGGTATAATTGTTTTTTAAATTAAATAATTATACTAATTATTAATTAGTGGGGGCATATATGGTTTTTCAGACCAATTGGATTTATGTCAAATATCATTTATAAATAAAGGATTTATCTTGAATTAAAATCTCCACAAAGGATGTTTGGCATATAGCCCCTATATATATATATATATATATATATATATATATATATATCTGAGTAAATTAAATAAAAGATTGAAAAATAATCATGACAAATTGTAATTGTGTCATGGTACTATGAGGAATTATAGTATTTAACTAGTGAGTGCTTGTAGTTAAAACCTAATATTTTGCATAATTTTAGTTTTATTTTCAAAATATTTTTTTCTTCAGCAAATGAAATCTTAAATTGTATGATTTTTATTTAATGATTTGAATAAGAAGGATTTATATCGAATATAATCGTACGATTTGAATCGTAAATCATACGTTTAACAACCATAATACATGAAAATATAGTAAAATTTAAACATTACAAAAACATAAGTTAAAGCACAAGGCATGTCAGTCCACACGCGATGCACGGCTGCTCTCCTACCTCGGGGCGTTCGCGCTTAGTTCGTTCGCCCTCCTCATTATGGGTGCCTGCCTAAAAAAACAAAAATAAAAAAGGAGAAATAATAATAATATTTTATTATAATTATTCCATGACAACGACTAACGGAATACTACAAAATCGATCTACTCTCGACACGATCCGATACTATTTTTGACTTGGATCCCACATCAACTCGAGAGTGGAGGCTTAATGATATGCCTAATTGGGTCGGGGTCCAATGGGCCTTCGATTTCTTAACTTA